GGGGGGGGGGGGGGGGCAGGGCGGGAGCCGGCGGCGCCGGGACGCTCTAGCGCCGCCTTGTGGCCAGCGCCCCGCGTCACCTCAGTCGCCTGCCAGCGGGAAAACGGGAGCTTTTGCCGGTTGCCCCCCGAATCGGTGTGTACCTCGTCACCCGGTAACGGCCGCCAGCGGGGCAGCTGTCCGTAAGGAACCGACAGCACGTTCTTAAGCTGTTCTAGCAGCCCGCAGAGGAAACGCGAGTCATTTCTGATGACTGCAACTTCCTGTACTCCTGCAGAAACACAGGGCCGGTTTTTCTTTCGGTTGGTTGGGTTTTGTCCCCCGGGACAACTCCGCACGCCGACAGCGTCAGTGCGTTTGCTCTCGCCGGTCCTCGTCAGCCAGGCCTGACAATCCAAGACCAGCATCCCAATTGCTAGAGACCAGGACAGCAGCTGGCAGGTGGACCCAGAGGTTTCAGAACTGACAGGACTGCACAAACACTTCCTGCCACAGCCAGTTCTTTGAAATTCTTTCTTTCTTCCCCTGGGGTTAATGAAACGTTAATAAATTCTCATTCATTCAAATACTCAATGCTTATTTTTACTTCTACGTTAGCATCTCCTTGTCGAGTCGCTTTCCATGCAGAATGTGAAATAAAAATAACACACTTCAACTTTCAGTTTCTATTAAGAGTAGCTACAGACTCATCCTTTAATGAATCACAACCAAACATCGAAGAGGAATAACATTCAAAAATTTAAAAAAAAAGTAAGCTTAAGTCAGGACTTTAAAAAAAGGCATCTAGCACCTCAGCCTTTTAACACAGTTACCCTAACACCCCCTTGAGGTCAGTAAATACCGTGAGCTTCACTTTACAGACGGGAAACACAGGTTTTTCACATTGCAAGACATGCTGCAATTCTCAGCCAGAGGTCTGGAGATGCCCGAGCTAGCAGCTAGAAAAGCTGTACTTCAGAGGGCACAGGATGCAATTCCTGCCCCACAAAAACAGTCATTCTGTGTCTCCACCTGAACAGGGCAAGGATTTGAAAACAAATCTCACACTTCCTAGTGTGAATACCACGACTCCTAAATACAGCACAAAACTCGCTCTGCACTACAAGCTCACACCAGTTCTTACGCCCTGTAAGGCGCAATTTAATGCGCTGCGTTCCGAACATCGGGTGGTGCTCCAGAAACACTGAGGGGGAACTCCTGAGAAACCTAACTAGAGCGAAGGGCGACCGAGGGCACAGAAGCACAGGGGTCAGACGGAGGAAGTTCTCAACCGGCCATCGGGAAGCGCGAGCGCCTTGCAGGCTTCAGGTGCTACGGACTGGACAGCCACTGCTGTTCAAATCACGCAGGGTACAGTGTAACAACGCCATTGTGGTTTAGTCCCCAAAATCACAAAAGAACTTGAAGTCTTTAAGTGGACATGTATACTACCGAGATCCCAGGAATTCCTATTCACTCCTGCAGTACTCGATCAACGGATCTGTCAGTCAAGTGTAAGGTCGCCACTAAACAATGCCAACTACCGTAATCGGACAAGATTAATTCAAAGTAGCACTGAAGACATTATGTTTTTACAATTACATGTCATTATCCAATATATCAAAACATGCAGTTTGTGCAGGTATTTCAGTAACATTGAAAATAAAACGTAATCTCCCACTTTCTTTGCTTCATACCATTCTGTACATGGCCTAAAAATGTAGCAAAGGAAGGGCTCAATTAGTGTGAACACTTGACAACACACTGGCTGCCTCCAGCAGACAGCAGCATCTTCATTTTGCTTATCTTGGCATTACAAAAGTAGAAATAGATATTCTATCAGTTTTACAGTATTTCAGCTACGCATCCAAAGAAAACAACTCATCCTTGTGGGATTACACCTTGAAGCCACTCAAAGTAAAGCTTTTCTCAAGGTGTTGCAAAGTTATTGAAATGGCTGGAATATTTAATGGCCAAAACCAAAGTACTATAAAAGCATATCCCAGAGGTTTTATTAGCAGTCAAAATATGCTTAGTGTAGAAATCCATGTTTATTTGAAAAAAAACCTGTAAATGATATTTCACAATATAAATTAAATCGGCTTACAGAGTTTTGGTGCCTGAAGTAGCTGTGACTTGACTGCTAATTGATAATTCGCCAGTATAACTTTAAATGGGATCTAACCTGCTAGTATAATGTTAAATGGGATCAGGGAGTCGTTTATATTGCGAGTGTTATGAAAACATCCCATAAAAATAATCAACTAACTATTTTCTCTCCTAGTATGAGCAACAGTGAACATTATGAGCAACAAGCCTGAAACAGATGATTCAACTTTTTGATTGAAATTTTTAAACAACTTTCAATCATTCAAGTATTATGGTCCCTATATACATACTTCTATGTGGCTAAAAAAGACATGGTAGACAATTGAGCACACTGCCATCAAATCGTAAGAATTACAAAATTGTCAGGTTTTAAACAGCAAATTGTACCTTAGTCATTTAATTAAAAATAGAATAATTAGGTAGACTATTTTGCAAATAAAACAGCACACTAGTGTGCTATATATTAAGGCATACCTTTAAATGCGCACTTGTCATCTCTGACAAGTTTTTTATACAATTGCTACCAAGTGAAAGAACTATCATTGTCTTGCAAAACTGAGAAAGAAATACAAAATATCTGGAAGCCTACATTTTTAAAGTACAAAATTAACCTTCAGTCCTTGTGTTGAAATACTCTACAGGTACAAACAGCGACTCTCCCCTACAAGATCTCACGAGGATTTCTTAAAGCTGGGGGTAAATTTGAAGGTTTTGATTCTTCATCCAGAAGTACCAAATCTTCAATTTCGCTACCTTTGTATTTTCTTTTACAGATCTTCACAATAACTTTCTTCTTGAGGAATAATTTCAAAGCTTCTCTTGAAGCAACCGCTTTGGCATTTTCCATGCTTTTACCACAGCCAGTACCCAAGTAGACAGACTTGCACCTCAGTTCACAAACTATATTTTCTAGAGAGCTCTTATTTTGAGGCAAGTCTGCAAGCTCCTTCAGGGGAACAAAAGCAACATCTAACGTAGCTTTTACAGACTGAATAGATGAGTTTAGAAGTTCTGCGTGATTTACGTTAGGACTGAAGCCTCCAACAGCAACCAGTTTCCAGGCTACAGCTTTGTACAGTCTGTTGAAAAAAGGTTGTCTTTCCTTTGCATCTTCGCTGGTTAACGGTTTGCACAAAGCCTTAGCAGGGCTTTCACCTGCCTGTGAGCCGCTCTTAGAGGCAAGCTGTGGTGAACCAGCCTGTGTGCCACCCTTGGAGGCCAGTAGGGAAGCACCTGCCTGAGCTCCACCCCGGGAGGCCAGTGACGAGGGACCTTGCTGAGCGCCACTCCGAGCGGCCAGCAGTGAAGCAGCCACCTGAGCGCTGCTCTTGGAAGTCAGCAGCGAGGATCCCTGCTGAGCACCGCTCCGAGCAGCCAGCAACGAGGCAGCCACCTCAGCGCTGCTCTTGGAGGCCAGAAGCGAAGAGCCCGCCTTAGCATTGCCCTTGGAGGCCAGCAGAAGCGAGGTGCCTGCCTGAGTGCTGCTCTTGGGTGCCAGAAGCAGCGAGCTGCCCGCCTGAGCGCCGCTCTTGGACACTGATGCTGGGGCACTCACTTGGTTTTTGGAAGACAGCAATGTAGCACTTGTTTGAGGGGTGCTCTTGGTGGTCGGTGGCACTGCTGCTGCCTGCGAGGTGCTCTTGCTGGTCGGTGGCACTGCTGCTGCCTGTGGGGTGCTCTTGGTGGTGGGTGGCACTGTCGCTGCCACTGCCGCTGCCTGCGGGGTGCTCTTGGTGGCCGGTGGCACTGCCGCTGCCACCGCCTCCGCCTGTGGGGTGCTCTTGACTGCCGGTGGCACCGCCACCACCTGCAGGGCACTCTTGGCAGCCGGTGGCACCGCCGCTGGCACTGCCACTGCCTGCGGGGCACTCTTGGCAGCCGGTGGCGCTGTGCTTACTGTAGTTTTCTTTTCGGGTGACGGCACATTTTCAGACTTGCTTTCCTTAGGCGGATTCGAGCGAGGCTTCTCTCCTGACTCTTTTTCAGATGAAGACGGATTTTGTTCAGTAGTATTTTCAGCATTAGCAGATTTTCCTTCTGTTTCTATGTCTGATGCTGTGACCATTTCTTGATTTGAACTGGAAGTTGACTGGGAGCTTTCTGGACCTTTGCTAGTATCTTTTTCCTGCTTTTTTGGCAATGTGCTCTCCGTTTCCTTTAGGGCTTCTGCCTTAGTTGTTTTCACATCCTTCCCAGTATCCTTAGAATCTTTGCTTTTCTCCACAGCTCGCTTCTTGGAGGGCTCCTCTACCCCTTCTGCAAAACAAGTGAAGTATGTTATTCTCTTTAATTTCTGCACTATGAAATATCCATCTAGAGACAATTTATCTATTTTCTAAAAACTTCTAGCAATAATTTCTGTGAATTTAAAAGGTATATATTGGAAATACACTTTGAACTGTAATTTCAAGTATTAATCTACTATTTCTGAATATTTTAGTATTTTTTGGACAAAAGCCTAAAAACACTCAGGTGCAAGATTCTAGGTTTTGGTTTGGGACCCGTAGGCAAGTATGTATTTCTATTCTTGAAGCCCAAACCAAAAATGACCAAAGTACATTAAACAGACTATCTGACCTAAAAACAAACAAACAAGTGTATTTTGTCTACTAATAGCATAAAAACATCTTTTACAATAGCACTTTAAGAATTTCTTTAAGAAACCAGGCTTCTCACAAAGCAATAACGTCCGACTAGTACTAAAGGCAAAGAAGAATACGTTTGAGCTGGAGCACAATAGTCTACATCGCCTTAAAAAAATAATCAGCTTAAAGTGCACCAGTTGCAGAAATGCAAAACAAGAGCTCTACATTAGCAACAGGATACGTATGCGTTACATCTATTTTACAGGTATACGAGGAAAAAACAGCACAGAGAGGGGAAACAATTAACAAGGAGTTTAAGGAGTAAATTATTTCCGCTACTTTCTAAGCCCGAGGCAAACCGAGAAACATTCAAAAACAAGCATTTTCTAGACTCCTATGTATTGTCACAGCTATGATCTGCTAACCATTGCTACTTGATATGCCTCTTTTCTTCACCTTGGCAACCAGTTCATCTCTCGTGGTGCGGACAGGCGCGCCGGTCACTTGGATGCCTTCGGCCATTTCCAGCGCCTTCTCCATGACCTGCGGCGGGTACCTGGAGGGGCGACAAGGGGAGAGGAGAGGAGGGGAGGGGAGGGGAGGGGTGCCGTCAGGGGGCCGCGCCGCCCGCCGCGGGGCCCGCCGCCCCGGCCCGCACTCACCGGCAGCCCAGGAAGACATGGTTGGCCCACACCATGGAGAGGGACACCAGGCGCTGGAGCTGGGCGCTGCCCGCCGCCGGCGGCTCCCCCACGTTGCGCAGCAGGAACTCCCGGCGGTGCCGCCAGTGGTGCTCGGGCTCGCAGGCCCCGCGCAGCGCCTCCGCCCAAGCCACCTCTTCCGCCGTCCGCCCCAGGGGCTCGGCCGCCGCCATGGCCTTCCCCGCCGCCATGGACCTCCCCGCC